AGAGTAGCTAAAGTGAGTTGAAGAAACAATGAAATAAAAGAGCTGACAAAAGATGTCAAAGTATGGCTCGAGAAGACAGTGTAAAGTATTATAATGAAATGTGCAAACACCTGGAATTAGAAAACAAAAAGGGAAGAATATGCTCAACATTTCTCAAGCTGAAAGAACTGAAGAAAAAATTCAAGACTCAAGTTGCAGTATTGAAGGATTCTATGGGCAAAATATTGAATGATTCAGGAAACATCAAAAGAAGACGGAAGGAACACACAAAGTCACTGTACCAAAATGAATTGGTCGATGTTCATCTATTTCAGGAGGTAGGAAGTGATTGAAGGAAGAAGTCCAACCTTCATTGAAGGAATTGTCCAAAAACACAGCTTAAGGAATTGATGAAACTCCCACTGAGATGTTTCAACAAACAGATGCCGCACTGGAGAGACTTACTCATCTATGCCAAGTAATTTGGAAGACAGCTGCGTGGCCAACTGACTGGAAAAGATCCATATTGTACCCATTCCGAAGAATGATGATCCAACACAATGTGGAAATTATCCAGCAACATCAATGTCACACACAAGTAAAATTTTGCTGAAGACAATTCAAAAACTTCTGCAGCAGTATATTGACAAGGAACTTCCAGAAATGCAAGCTGGATTCAGAAGAGGACATGGAATGAGGGATATCATTGCTGATGTCAGATGGATCTTGGCTGAAAGCAAAGAATACCAGAAAGTTGTTTACTTGTGTTTTTTGACTATGCAAAAGCACTTGATTGTGTCAAATTATGGGTAACATTGAGAAGAATGGGAATTCCAGAACACTTAATTGTACTCATGAGGAACTTGTACATACACCAGGAGGCTGTTGTTTGAACAGAACAAGGGCATACTGCATAGTTTAAAATCAGGAAGGAAATGAGTCAGGTTTGTATCCTTTCAGCATACTTATTCAATATGTATGGTGAGCAAATAATCTGAGAAGTTGGACTATATGAAGAAGAATGCAGCATCAGGATTGGAGGAAAACTTATGAACAGCCTGCAATATGCAGATGACATATCAACAAACTTCTTGCTGAAAGTGAAGATGACTTGAAGCACTTACTGATGAAGATCAAAAATTCAGTTTTCAGTATGGATTACACCTCAACATAAGAAAACAAAAATCCTCACAACCGCACTAATTAGCAGCATCACGATAAAAGGAGAAAAGATTGAAGTTGTTGAAGATTTCATTTTACTTGGATCCACAGTCAGCACCCATGGAAGCAGCAGTCAGAAAATCAGATATGGTATTGCACTCAGAAAATCTGCTCTTTAAAGTGTTAAGGACTAAAGATGCCACTTTGAAGACTAAGGTTCTCATGACCCTAGTCATGGTATTTTCAATTGCATCATATGCATGTGAAAGCTGGACAGTGGATAAGGAAGACCAAAAGAGAGTTGATGGCTTTGAATTGTGGTGTTGGTGAAGAATACTGAAAATATCATAAACTTCCAGAAGACCGAACAAATCTGCCCTGGAAGAATGCTCCTTGGAAATGAAAAAGGTAAGATTTCATCTCACCTACTTTGGTCATGTTGTCAGAAGGGACCATTCCTTGGAGAAGGATATTATGCTTGGTAAAGTATAGAATCAGCAAAAAAGGGGAAGTCCCTCAATGAGATGGATAGACAGAGTGGCTGCACAATGGGCTCAAGCATAGCAGATTGTGAAGATGGTGCAGGACTGGGCAGTGTCTCATTATGTTGTATGTGGGGTTGCTGTGAGTCAGAGCTGACTGGGCAGCACCTAACAACAACTACAATGGTAGTTCTATTTTCAGCTTTTTGATGAACTGCCAACTCTTTTCCACAGTGGCTGTACCATGTTGCATTTTGTGTTTGATGGCCATTTAAATGTCCACTTTGGTGACATGTCTGTTCAAATCCTTTGCTCATTTTTTGATGGAATTATTTCTGTTTTTGTTGTTGTCAAAGATTTATATATATTTTTTGTTATTAGATTCTTGTTGGATAGTTTCTGAAGATATTCTCCAGGTGGTAGCTTGTCTTTTCAGTTTTTTTTTTTTTCTGTTTTTTTGGAGTCTTTTGATGAGCAATATATTTTTTTTAATTTTTATGAGGTCCCATTTGTTTATTTTGTATTTTGCTGGGTGTACTTTTGTTATTTTATTGAATAACTTATTGTTGTTCCACTCCATGGAATGAAGATTGGCAGTCTACTTCTGTAAAATTTGCTGATTTGGAAATCCAGTAAGGGTTGCTGACTCTGAATTGACTTGATAGTAGTGGGTTTGAAGTGGATTAATCCATTTGCAAGCTAGGCCTTAAAGTATTGCCTCTGCTTTTTCTTCCAAGAATTTTATGGTTTAAGTTTGCATATTTAGGTCCTTAATCAATTTTAAATTTGTTTTTGTGTATGGTGTGAGGTGTTACTTTGTTTTTGAGTTATAAGAATTCTTTATATATTCTGGATCCTAGACCCTTATTGGGAGCTCTGGTAGCACAGTGGCTAAGGCACTTGACTGCTAACAAGAAGGCTGGCAGTTCAAACCCACCAGCCACTCCTTGGAAGGAAGATGGGGCAATCTACTTCCACAGTGATACTGCCTCGGAAACCCAAGGAGGGGTCGCTATGAGTCAGGTCTGACTCTACGGCACATAACAACAACAACAACAACAGACCCTTATTAAATACACAATTTTTCAAATATTTTTTCCTTTTCTCTGAGTAGTCTTTTTGCCTTCTTGATAGTGTCTTTTGTTGCACAAAAGTTTTTAATTTTAATGAAGTCCAAATTATCTTCTTTTTCTTTTGTTGATTATACTTTAGTTGTCCTATCTAAGAAACCATTGCTTAATCCAAGGTCATGAAGATTTACGCTTGTGTTGTTTTCTATGAATTTCATAGTTTTAGCTCTTACATTTAGGTCTTTGATCCATCTTGAATTAGTTCGGTATATGGTGTGAGATGGGGCCCTAACTTTATTATTTTGCATGTGGACATCCCAAAGCAAACCAAACCCACTCCCATCAAGTCTATTCTAATTCATAGTTACCCTATAGGACAGAGTAGAATTTCCCCATCAGGTTTCCAAGGCTATAAATCTTTTCTTTTTTGGGGGGTGTGTGAAAGTTTATAGAGTAAAATCGTCTTCCATATAGCAGTTCACATATACTTTGTCTCATGACATTGACTGTAATCTCCCACAGTGCAGCAGCTCTCCTTCCACTTCCTCCCCATAGTTACCTCTTCCCTGTGTCCTTCCCTCCCATGCACTCCTGCCCCTCCCCAGCTGTCTCCCTGTGCATACACAACAGCCCTTCTATTCTCCTATGACTGATCTTTGCAAGGAGAATGTCTACTTAATGTAAATGTTCAGCTCATATTCCTGCCTTTTGTTTGGCTGGAAGCCACAAGAGTGAGTTTAATTACAGACCTAAAGGGGAGCTGGGGCCATAGTCTCAGGGCTTCCACCAGGCTCTATCAGACCAGCAAACTTGGTCCTTTTTTTTCCCCCCTTTTTCATGATTTTGAGTTTTGTTCCACATTGTTGTCCCAGTCTATCTAGAATCTCCTACATAGATCCCCCTCTGAGTGGTTGACAGCGGTAGCCAGGCACCATCTAGTTCTTCTGGTCTCATAGTCATATAAGCTGAGGATCACATGATGTACCAGTCCCTTGGACTAATTATTTCCATGAATCTTTGGTTTTCTTCATTCTTCTTTGCTCTGGATGAAGAGAGACCCATCATTGCATCTAGATAGCCACTTAAAAGCTTTTAAGATCCCAGTTGCTACTTGTCAAAGTAGGATGTGGAACAGTGTTTTTGTGTAGTATTGCAATGATGAGCTCAAGTATAGCAGGGATTGTGGGGCTGGAGCGGGATAAGGCAGTGTTTCGTTCTGCTGTGCATGGGGTCGCTATGAGTTGGAAATGACTCGACGGCACTTAACAACAACACAACAATGCCAATTGAGCTTGATGTCCTCTGTGACCATGGTCCCGAGCCCACAGGTCCAACTACTTGCTCCCTCTGGGCAGCTGGCTGTGGCCAAGAAGTGTATACAACCTCATTCCTTGTCAGCTCTACTGTATACCTGGGAATTCTTACAGAACATACAAATACAGTTGTAGAAAATTGTCTGCCAACCCTATACATGATCATGGGAACATTTCCCCCCTGCATAGACATACCTAATCATTCAGCCTGTCCACCCATCTATCCACCTATAGAGCAATGTTTGCCATCACAGACAACGCAGTACTGTATGTGCAGAAATGTTCATCTTTGTTTTCTGGACCTCCCATGCACCTCGCTATGTCTTCCTCTTCCTCAATACCAAGGCTATAAATCTTAACAGAAGCAGACTGCCTCATCTTTCTTCCACAGGGTGGCTGGTGGGTTCAAACTGCCAACTATTTGATTGCCAGCCCAATGCTTTAACATTGTACTTCCAAAACCATTCATTGAAAAGACTTACTTTTTTCCCATTGAATTGTCTTAATACCTGTCATGGATTTAATTGTGTCCCCCCTAAAATATGTCTCAACTTGGCTAGACTGTTACTCTCAGTGGTTTGGTAGTTATGTAATAATGTAGTTTGGAAGTTATGTAATGAAGATGATGGCTGCCAGTAGGGAAGCCTCAGAACCATCCAGTATTTACAGGTTATTGGTCAAAGAATCTTACGTTTAGTTAGCCAAAAACCAAACCAATTGCCATTGAGTAGATTCCGACTCATGGCAACCCTGTATGTCATGCCTGGAAACTAGGCTGGGGCTGGTAGCAGCCTGAGAAAATGGCTACAGTGTAGCTGCTTTCCTCATGACTTCCTGACTGGAGAGAGTAAATTCTGAGGCTCTCAGAGAAGGCTGCATAGTCAGAACCTATGAGTGCCCAGGTGGCCTCTGGTGCAGAGGCCCATCCAGAAGACTCTGCATGCCCGGCAGACAATTAAACAGGCCTTTGACCAGCTCTGCTTTTCTTTTCCCAGTGACAAGCACAGACTACGACACTGCAGCTGATGCCACGGAGAGCTCATCCTACTTCAGTGCCCAAGGCTATGTGTCCAGGTAGGGAGTCTAGGAGAGGGTAGGCACTGTCAAGTGGACTGACAGCCCCAGGTCCCCTGAGGAGGAGGTGGTGCTCAGACTGACAAAATCCAGAGCATTCTACCAGGCCACAGGCAGTCTTCTGTCCCTCTGTCCACCTGTTCAGTCTCCATTCCTGCCCTGGAGCCCATACTTGTTGCACTTCATGGGCATACCTTTTCTGTTCTGACAGTCGGGAACAAGAGGGTATGGAGTCGACTTCAGAGGAAGGGCAGCTGCCTCAAGTAGTGGAGGAGCTGAGAGACCTCCAGGTGGCCCCAGGCACACGCCTGGCCAAGTTCCAGCTCAAGGTGAAAGGTGAGGGGAAATGAAGTAAGGGGCACCATAGAGGGGTTGAGGGCCTCCACCAGAGCGGGCTCCTGTTCAGCCACAATGAGGAGGCAGCCACACTGAGGGAGACCCTGGCCGACCCCAAAGCACTGCCTGCTGTCTGGATGCTACTCTCCACTGCTTCCCACCCTAGGAGACTGGTACCTGTCATGGGTGACATGGGATCTCTGAAGGATCCCATCCCAACAACCTCCCTTCTTCCTCCCATTTGGAAAACATGGTGCTCCCAAAGTCTGGCACCTGGAGAGAGGCAGGGCCCATTGTTCACTGGGCAGGTGACTTTGTGCTACTGTGTTCTCCCTGTGGCTCCAGGCTACCCAACACCTCGCCTGTACTGGTTCAAAGATGGACAGCCTCTGTCCATGTCCACCCACATCCGCATGACCGATAAGAAGACATTGCACACACTGGAGATCCTCTCAGTTACCAGGGAGGATGCTGGCCAGTACTCAGCCTACATCAGCAACACTGTGGGGACAGCCTACTCATCTGCCCGGCTCCTGGTACGAGGTAGGTGCAAAAGGGACTGGGCAAAAAGCACTGTGGGCCCCAAACAGTGTCCAAGTTGTCAGACATCTACCTGCATGCCCTGCTGCAGCAGACCTGGGGAATTGTACCCCTCAGTCACCCTCCCGTGTACCCAATTGTCACAGACAGCTTGAAGGGACTGTGGAGATCCTTTTCCTGACCATTTGGTATGCTGTCCATAAATTCAGCTCAGGTCATTGCAGCTATCATAGAAGTATAAGAAGGAATGAGCTGATTCTTACTTTGGTGATTAAGGTTCATACTTTTGAACACTGAATGTTAAGTTCAAGTTTGTGAGAAACTCGCTTGTGCCAAAACCTGGCCTGGCCTGACCCGATGTGCCCAGCATCATTCATGGCCTTCATTTGCACTGCTTCAACCCTGATGCTTTGCTGCAGGAGCAGTGGGCACTGGTTGTGAAGTGCAGCCCTGCCTTTATTGGAGGGTGGAAGGGGACACAGGGTCAAACTTATGTGTGTGTGGATTCCAGAACTTGCCTGGCTGAGGCTTCAGGTGAGGGACTGTGGACATACACCCATGATGGCTGGGGTTTCCCTTGAGAGCCCACCCACCACAGAGTAGGACCTCTGCAGACTAGCCACATGGTCCTGGGTGCAGAATGGAGGGTCTGGAGATGCGTTCATGCTAGGGCTCTAACTTCTTTGTCTCTTCCAGGCCTAGATGAACCAGAAGAGAAGCCAGTGTCAGGTAAGCAGCCCCAGATGGGCAGAGAGGGTGGTCAGTGGTGCACTATAGGTGCTGAGGCAAGGCCTGGTAGGGCTGGGTCAGAGCCGGAGCAGACACTGCTCTGGGCCTAGGCCTGGCATCTGTGTGCAGAGAGGCCAGAGCTTGGGGCACCAAAGGGGCTTGATTAGCTATGAGGGGGCCAGAGGAATTGCCCAGGGCCAGCTGGGAGGAAGGAGAGCTAGGTATGAGCTAGAGAGGCCAGAAGGCTCCCCAGAGGTATCCCAGGGTGCCTAGACCCTGGGATCTGGAGACTGTGCCAAGCAGGTGTAATGGGATTGTGGAGCCACATGGTACCAGGAAGCAGGGCTCCTGAGTCCTGGACAAGTCTGCCACCGCCTGTCCCAATCTGCCATCCAGATGTGCAGGAACAGCTGGTACCACCCCGAATACTGGAGAAATTCACCCCTAAAAAGGTAAAGAAGGGCTCCAGCATCACCTTCTCAGTGAAGGTTGAAGGTAAGGCCCCTGATAATAGCCCTTGCTCTGCCCAGAAGCCCCCTTCCAGAGAGTGATGCATCCACCTCCTGTCTGCACACCCTGCAGGCCACCCAGCCCCAGCTGTGCATTGGCTTCGAGAGGATGCTGCACAAGGCGTGCTATGGATTGGGCCTGCCACACCGGGCTGCAAGGTGGCCAGCTCCGGGCAGCAGCACAGCCTGGTCCTGCTGGATGTGGACCGGGGGCACCAGGGAACCTATACCTGCATTGCCACCAATGCTGCCGGGCAGGCGCTCTGCTCTGCTGGCCTGCACATCTCTGGCTGTGAGTGGGGCTGAGCCATGGTGAAGGGTACAAATAGGCAGTGGGCTGCAGGGAGTGGAGTCATGGGTGATTCCAGGCCCCAACCCTGAGCCCTCTCCCCTTTTTCTCTCTTCCTCCCTGGGGCTTTTCCAAAGTGGGCTTACCTAGAAGCAGGGGAGGCCCCAAGAATAGGTCAGACTTCCCACTGCCTGGTGCACAGAACCTACCTGGGTGCCCCACGTGGTCCCCTCCTGGGGACTTCTGTCACCCTTAAAGTCCTCCTCCCAAGTGCTCATATGCCCTTCCAATGGGATGGTGAGTTAGGGCAGGTACCTGCTCTTTCCCAATGTCTGTATGATTTTGGCCCTTAGAGCATAGCCTGGGGGCAGGACAATGCCCTCTTCAGGACTCTGGAGGACCCTTGGACAGCCCAGAAGTTTTAGCAGGGATCCAGGCTCAGAGTCTAAGCGTGGTGGGGCCCAGGATTGGGGCGGGGCTTTCTTGATGTGCTCACTGGGTCAGTTCTCCCAACAGTGCCCAAGGAGGCCAAGACAGCAGAGGAACAGGGGGCTGCGAAGGAGGCCCTCATCTCCACCTTTCTGCAAGGGTGAGTCAAGCCCACTGTAGCCAGGCAAGGGCCAGGGCCAGGGAGACAGGCAACCTGCAGGTAGCAGTGGTGTTGCTGCCCTGGGAACCACTCTCATAGACAGTATGGATTGGACCAGCCCTGCACCTCTCTTTGCTTCAGTTTCCCCATCACAAAATGAGGCTTTTTCCAAGGCCTTTAGAGTGTAAAGGCTCCTTGGTTGTGCCATCCTGGGCCCTTGCCCTCAGATCCTCTTTCTTTCAGAGATCTTGCCTGCAGGCAGAGGTCAGGTCTGTCCACTCACAACACTACTGGCCTACTCCCTCCCTTTAGGACTCAAGCCGTCTCCACGCAGCTGTCAGAGTCTGTGGGATTTACTGACTTGGCAGGGCAGAGGAAAGGTAAGGGCTGGTGGGTGCAGGTCTGGTGGAGTAGGCCTGCCTCAGAGGAGACTACCTACTGGCCAGCCAAGCCCCTACCCTAGCCTGACCTGGCCCCTCTTCTGAGCTCTGGGTGGTGGCTGAGTCTCTGCCAGGTCTGGCCCCAGATCTAGGAGCTGTGGAGGCAGCCTGAGACTGGCTGATCATGGTTCATGTCTAGCAGATATTTGCCTTGTGAATGTTCCCACATCTGGCTGTGCTGAGTGTGGGAAGGATGCCAGGATATAGTGAGGAGACCAGCTTACAGGGCCTTCTACCTGGAAGAATGGGGTTGGGCCAGGTTGGGTGCAGCCCCTGGTGAAAGGTGTCAGGAGAGGGGCTGCTCCATGTCTTGCTTCTGCTACCTTCTCTGCTGCCTCCAAGCATCTTGGGGAGTTTTCTAATTTTATTTTATTTTTTTGGAAAATGCTAAGCCACCTTAGAGAGGGTGGTGTAATGCCTCCTGTGCACCTATCACCTATCCTGTGGCTATCATCACATTCATTTCTGCCCCTTCTCTGCTTCCCTCCGCACCAGTCTGAGGCCTATCCTAGGCACCTCTCAAGTCACCTCAATCCAATCCTAGCAAGGAGTCCTCAGCTTGTCATGGCTGACTCCATGCTCTTCTACTCCCTCTGCTTCAGCTGACAGCAATACATCCCTGTAGCTGCTCAGGCCAAAGTGAGGGCACCCTCCTTGGCTCCTGCAGCCCCCAACCCTACCCACAGCCCTCAATCCTGAGTCTTTCCTTCAAACGTGTCCTGGACCTGCCGCTTCTTCTACATCTTTGCTGAGAACGTGTGCCTGCCCCAGCCCTTCACCAGCCTCTTCCAAGCCCACCCACCATGGCTCCTGCAGCCCCTAGCCCACCTGCAGCCCACCTGCAGCCTAAACAGCCTCCCCTCCCTGGGCTCTGCCCCCCCACCAGGTTCTGTCTTCTCTCTGTCCTTGCCTCTTACTGACCACTTGCTGTACCCCCTGAATAGACAATGTGTCCTCAGAATTTGTGGCCCTCCCTCATAGCCACTCTCAGCCATCATAGCCCTTATCTGTGCTTCTCCTGCTCTGCTTCTTTGTCATCTCTATCTGAGCAGTTCTGGGCACACATTGCCTCCACTGGAAGAGTGTACCATGTGTTGGAGGTTGTGCTTCCTTGAGTCACTCACTATCTGTGCTCCAAGAACAGGCCCAGGCTCAGAGTGCTCAGTGCATGTTGTTCATTGGTGCACACCTGACTGACTGGAGCATTTGTGCCTTCAGGAGAGCTGTCTGTGGCTGAGGAAGTCCGCAGCCACCTCTCCCTTGCTGAGGTTGGCACTGAAGAGTTCCTCCAGAAGCTTACCTCCCAGATCACAGAGATGGTGTCAGCCAAAATCACCCAGGGTAGGCAAGATGGTATTGTGGTGACACCCACCACCCATGTCCTGGGGGTCTTGAGAGTGGAGTGGCCATGACAGTGAGCCCAGGGGCTCCTCTACCCTCCTCTGTGAGGGGTGGAAGCCATGTGCATGGGGAGCTATTCCAGCAGGGTCCCAGGCCCTTGCTGGGATGTGACATGTCTTTGTGCCCATCCAGCCCGGCTGCAAGTACCTGGAGGTGACAGTGATGAGGAGTCCAAGACACCGTCCCCATCGCCCCGGCATGGCCGCTCGAGGCCCTCCTCCAGCATCCAGGAGTCCTCCTCAGAGTCGGAGGATGGCGATGCCCGTGGTGAGGTGTGTGGTCCTCAGCCCTGCAGGGTCAGGGCCCTGCTAGGATGGCCTTTGGGGGCTGAGATGGAGGGAGGAATGACTCTGCTGAAGAAGACACCGTACCATGAAGGATGGCAGGTCTTGGGTGGAACCTGACGTTTTGAAGTGTCTTTGAGCAAATTGGCGGAAACCACCTCAGTGTTTAGAAGTGAGTCAAATAGATGACACACAAGAAGATACAATATAATGCATCTTCTATAAAATGCTGCAAGGTTGGTAAATTCTCCATAACAGGAAATTGAGTTGGAAGGGTGGGTGGACCCGTATAAACATCAACTCTGCTGAAGTGTTAATACACAACAAGATATGCTCTTTCTATGTGAGCTCAGTGGGTTCTGATGCATGCACACATGTGCCTGTGCACCTGAGATCACACTATACCCCAGATATCCAGAGGCTTCCTCTCACCCCTTCCTCTCACCCCTGCCTCTCACCTTTCCCTCTCACCCCTCCTCCTGTTCCCTGCAGCCCCTTAGATGATTCCCATAAATAGAGGTCAGTTGTGCCTGTGCTAGAACTATATAGAAATGGAATCACACAGGATGGCTTCTTTCTCTTTGAATAATACACTTTGACTCATGAGTTATAAAAAAAAAAAAGAAGAAAAAGAAAAATGAAGAACCAGCGAACCACCTCATAACTTGGATAAACTTGGAGGACATTATGCTGAAAGAAATAGTCAATCACAGAAGGACAAATATTGTATGAGTTCATCATTGTAAAAAGTCAAGGAAAGGTTTACACATGGAAGGAAATTTTCTTTGTTGGTTACCAGTGATGGAAAGGGAGGGAAAATAGGTGGATAATTAAGATAGGTTTGATATGAGTTGTTCTGGTTACCTAGTGCCACTCTGACAGTAATATACCACAAATGGAATGCCTTGAACAAAGACGAGTTTATTCTCTTACAATTTTGGAGGCTTTAAGTCCAAGTTCAAAGTGCCAGGCTCCAGAGGTTGGGTGAAAGCCCCTCAACCTTGGGCTTCAGCTCTGCCTCCTGCTCCTGGTCCACTGAAGCTGGAGACTTTTCTTTACTCAGACAACTATTGGCTGCTGAGGCCAGCAAGCCCAAAGTTGACAAGTAAAAAGGCACAGTCCCAATGTTACTAAACAACATGGCAGGCCACTAATTCAAGTCCAGATGAAGTCCCAAGATTGGCAGGGCATGGCAGGCCGTTGAACAACAACTTGGCTACATGCAGGGTTCAAGCATGCCAAAACGCTGGAGACCATTCCCAAAGCTGCTTTTTATATATGGGAAGCAGACCCCATCCCTAAAGCAGCTACTTAGCTGCTTGTGGTAGATCCCACCATGGAGCTAATTGCCAGTCTCATCGTGGGAAATAACTACCACCAGCTGCCCACCCACTCAACCAGGCCCAGCCATGTTGACTTACAACCTTAACTACCACATGAGTGAAGAGATTTGAGGAAAATAATATAAAAATAAAATTGAAAAAAAGACATATAGTCATTAGTTGATAGTTTTTGAAGCTAGATTATGGGCATATGGGGGTTCATTGTACTAGTCCTTGTTTCTGTTTGAAATGTTTTATGATACATATTTTTATAAAGTAAAAAAGTGAAGAAGAAAAAAAAAAGAAAAGAAGGAAAGAAATGGTGCATTTTAGAGTGCTCCAAGAGAGCAGAAAAGGACAGGGTACCTACAGGGGGCCAGAGGCCCTGGGGGCCTCATGTGACAGCAGGGTCTGACTCAGAATAACAGTCCTCACTGCACAGTATCTGCAGCGACCCTTTCTGCTGGTGAAATCCATTTGTTCACTTGTTTTTCATTCATTCATTCATTCAAGCAATGCATCTGGTACTTACTGTTCACTAGGCATTGTGTTAGACCTAGGGGTGGTTTCTGTGTGTGTGAGACAGTGACAGGGAAGCAGTCAGTGAACAAACTAAGGATAGGCAGCCTTGGCCTGGGGAAGGTGGGGCATGGCTCACCCACATCCTGTTCCATGTCGGTGCAGGAGCCAGCAGATGTGTGGAATGATGTCTGGGCTAGCCTCTGCCCTGCAGGCTTGGGCTGCTGAAGACCCTGGAGGTTGTTGGTGCCTTGGGAGACCTGACTGGCCATTCTCTGTGTGCCCTTTACTCCCTTCCTCCCTTCAGATCTTTGACATCTATGTGGTCACGGCCGACTACCTTCCACTGGGAGCAGAGCAGGATGCCATCACGCTGAGAGAGGGCCAGTACGTGGAGGTCCTGGACTCAGCCCACCCACTGCGCTGGCTAGTGCGCACCAAGCCCACCAAGTCTAGTCCCTCACGGCAAGGCTGGGTGTCACCTGCCTACTTGGATAGGAGGCTCAAGGTGCTTAGAGGCTGGGGCAGGGTTAGAGGGAAGGAATCCTGGAGAGCCAATTTAAGGGATGGGAGACCTGACCCCCTCCTGGCCCTGTCCATGGCCCTGCTACATCGCAGTGGCCCAGACAGGCCAACCTATGACCCACTCTTTGTTCTCATCAGCTTTCGCCTGAGTGGGGGCCCACAGAGGCACCTGAGTTCCCCAGGGAGGCCATGTCTGAGGATGAGTACAAGATGAAACTGAGGTGAGAAGAAGGCCGGGCAGGTGGGGGCTGCCTGCATGCTCTCGACACGCTCTACTGCTTACCATTATACAGAACTCAGGTCCTGGCTTTTGGAGAAGTTAGGGTCTGGGTCATAGAGTTTTCTGGGAAATCTAGTTTCCTTGTGGGAACATCTGAGTAGCTAATTCCACAACAGTCTCCTGAGGTTGGGGCTGAGGTAGAAAGAAAGTAGGCCAGGGGCCTGACCCTGCTCCTGGTTCCTGTTCATTATGGGTTGGCACTGAGTGGGACTGGGGCTGTAGGAGCCTTTGCTTCAGGACTTTTCAGTGACAGGGGAAGCCTTGCTTGGGAAGGAGGCATGTGAAGCTCTCTCTCTATCTTATTGCCCCTTTCTGAAAGTAGGTAGGAAGCTGTAAACAATAAGGAGATGGAAATAGAAAGAGTAGCTGAGTCTAGGCCCCTATTCAGCAGCTGAGGAAACAGGCCCAGAGGGGGAACAGACTTTGCCTACAACCACAAAGTGCCTGGTTCCAGCACAGGGGGCAGGCTGAGGGCAGGCAGCTTGAGACCTCTGGGCACCCCTCATGGCCTCCCTCTCGCTCCCCAGTTCTGTCATCCAGGACCTGCTGAACTCAGAGCAGGCCTTTGTTGGCATGCTGCAGTTTCTGCAGAGCCACCACATGCAGCACCTGGACCGTTCTCCCCATGCACCTGCTGCAGTGGCCAGCCAGAAGGCAGTCATCTTCCGTAACGTGCAGGACATCAGCCACTTCCACAGCAGGTGGGCTGGGCACTAGACATGCATAGTGGACCCACAGGCTAGGGCATGTGGTAAGTGGGCAAGATGGTGGGTAGCTAGGAGCTGAGGAGGTGAGAACCACTACAGTGACATGACCCACCTGTCAGTGCACACCTCTTTGTATCCTTAGAAGCACAGGCATATGCCACTAGCTTCCACACAAGAACATCTGCAGTATACCTGCCCACTGATAAGCACACTTCAAGTCCAGGCACATGCACACATGCACATAAATGAATGCACAGAGACAAGTGTATACCTGCACATACACATCTGTGTACATGTATGTGCCTATGTACACATGTACACACCCATAAACATATGTACACACATACATGTCCTCATACCTGGGCACATGTGCATGCATATATGTGCAGTCACATAAGCATGCATGCTGTATATACCTTCACACCTGTGAATACATGTATGTGTGAATACATGTATGTGTCTATATACATATGCACATATATGCAGTCACGTGAATATGCACATGTCAGCATAGGTGTGCATACTCACACCCATACACATGTGCACACATGCATATAGGTGTACTTCTGCATAAATATGCACATGCATGTCTGCACACATTACCTAAAATGCATGTGAACATGCACACATACCTACATACCTCATATTCATGCATGCCTGTATACATGTGAACAACCACCCACACCTACAGCCACATGCATGCCAAATACATGTATTTTGTCACACTGCCACGCATGTCCCTGACATGTGCATGCCTACATGCATGTGCACACATGTGCATGTTTACATCCATGTGTATACATATATGTGTTCATTCATACACATATGCACACCTGCATACACATGCTCACTCATATGCCTCCTACATCCTGACACAATGACTCACACTTCTCCAGAGCTGACAGGAAACCAGCCCTTGGGCAAGGCTCTTCTTGATCCCTCCCAAAGGTGAAGGCTTAGCACTAAGTGAGTGGGCAAGGGGAGGTGGTAGGGTCTGATGTCACTCAACACCCCTCTACTTTTGCTGGGCCTGGGCCTCACCCCTGACTGCCACTCCTGCTGTACAGCTTCCTGCAGGAGCTGCAGAAATGTGACACAGATGATGACGTGGCCATGTGCTTCATCAAGAATGAGGCAGCTTTTGAGAAATACCTAGAGTTCCTGGTGGGCCGTGTGCAGGCTGAGTCAGTGGTTGTCAGCACAGCTGTCCAGGAGTTCTACAAGGTGCCGCTTGCCCTGAGTCTGGGGGTGTCCCAGCCTTGCATTCCCCACCCTGCTCCCAGAGTCCCAGTGCCAGCACTCGGCTTTCATCTGACCCTAGTCATCCCTCAAGGCCCAGACACTCAACAAGCCGGTGTTTATCTTCTCTGACCCTCAGTCCCCACCACAGCCCTGCCTGGACTCCTGGGGCCCTGGCTTCATAAGGAAAGCAATCAGTGCCCACCCTCCAGATCTGTACTCCCTGGGCTGGCTGCTTCACCTGCTTGAGCCTTACGCTCCCTACCTGTCTAAGGGTGATGCCCATCATATGAGTTGCCAGTCCTACAGATGGGTAATTCCTGGGGCCCTGTTCCATCAGCTCTCCAGGGCCCTGCCCTGCACGGCCAGCTGCTCCAGCCCCAGGAAGGGCACAGTGTTCCCTGACTCCTGTCATCATCCCTGTCCTGCAGTGCTCCACACAAGGCCAAGGCTCCTTCTGTCCTCAGAGCCTGCGTGGCTCCAGGCTGGGTGGGTATAGTATGGTCTTTCCTGGACTTCAGGTTCTTGCCCTGAGACCCACCCTCTTGTTCTAACAGAAATATGCTGAGGAAGCGTTGTCTTCAGCAAATCCCTCGCAGCCCCCGCCTCCACCACTGCAGCACTACCTGGAGCAGCCCATCAAGCGGATCCAGCAGTACCAGACCCTCCTCAAGGTGCAGGAGACCCCTTCACTGCCCCTCCCCCAGCTTCATTCCCCTGTCTTCAGGCTCAGGGACCATAGCCTCTGACCCATCTCGTTGCACCATGGCAGGATCTGATCCGCAACAAGGCAAGGAATAGGCAGAACTGTGCCCTATTGGAACAGGCCTATGCAGTGGTGTCAGCTCTGCCCCAGCGTGCTGAGAACAAGCTGCACGTGTCACTCATGGAGAACTACCCAGGCACCTTGGAGGCCCTGGGCGAGCCCATCCGGCAGGTCTGTCTGCATCTTTCACTTCATGTTTGCTCAGGGCACCAGTGCAGGACTCTGGGCAATGGAGGGTGGGGAGTGCATGTGCACATGTGTGGCTGCAGGGTCTTTACCCTAGGGAGCGAGACTCCACTGACCACACCTGACCACATCCCCAGGGCCACTTCATCGTGTGGGAAGGGGCACCAGGTGCCAGAATGCCCTGGAAAGGCCACAACCGCCACGTCTTCCTGTTCCGCAATCACCTGGTGATCTGTAAGCCCAAGCGAGACTCACGGACTGACACCTTCAGCTACATCTTCAGGAACATGATGAAGGTTTGAAGGGCTGTTGGGTGTCCATTCTCCAGGTGGACAGAGTAGGGCTCTGCAGAGAGGGAGAGCTGTGTCCCATCCATGCAGAATCTTGGTAGCCAGGCAAGGATGGAGGCTGACACCAGAGCCTGTCCTGTGGCTGCTGTCCTGAGATTGACCTCACGATGGTTCTTTGGGGCTTGGGGCCTCTCCCTTATCTTCTCCATGGACAGAGTTCCAGGTCTGGCAGTCGCCCACCAGAGCCTGTGTTCTGGAGTGGTCATTGAGCAGCTAGAGCAGGAATGAGGAGGCGAGAGTCACTGTGCTAATATGGCCCCCATCAGTGCACATCTCTGCATGGATACACATACCCTCGGGAGCATGGTTACCTGCTGCACACTGACTCTCCTCCTGCTGATACCCCTTCAGCTGAGCAGCATTGACCTGAACGACCAGGTGGAGGGTGATGACCGTGCCTTCGAGGTGTGGCATGAGCGAGAAGACTCAGTGCGCAAGTACTTGCTGCAAGCACGGACAGTCATCATTAAGAATTCGTGGGTGAAGGAGATCTGTGGCATCCAGCAGCGCCTCGCCCTGCCCGTCTGGCGTGAGTGTCTCCTGGGTGAGGGGTGGCCAAGTCCTCAAGGGTGCCCACTCACTAGCTTGGGTGCCACCCAGGCTGATGCATCCCTGAGGCCTTGGGGTACCTGAATGCTTGGCCCGTACCCCACTGCCTAGGTAGACACCAATAGGTTAGGCTCTTTCCTGGGAGGAGACCTCTTGGTTCTTATCCTCAGTCAGCTCAAGGTGGGCACAATAGTTCCAGCCCCAAGGCTTCTCCAGCTCCAGCAGACCCAGACCCTGAAGCTAGACTTACCTCCATGGTGCCCCTCCCCCAGGCCTCTCATTTGCTTTGCTGGAATGTTCTAGCCAATTTGATGTCAGGTTCCCTCAAGAGAGCAGGAGCCCCCAAGCCGGGTGTTAGCTGACTGTAACCTGAGGGGGAGGAGGATAGGAGCCTTCTGGAGGCCTTGGGTTGCACACTTGGGCCAAGAGACAAGCAGTGTCCTGGGCCCCCTGCATAGGGCCCTTGTACATAGTTTAGGGAGCAGAGATGCCCTAGCAGCCCTGGCTCTCACTCTCCCAACAGTAATCCAGGAACAGAGAGAAGCTCCCTCTCCAATTTGGTGGGTGAACATTTGCCCCATTCCATGGTCCCTACCACTCCCCACTAACCCCCAGCCTGTCTCACTCAACCATGGCTCCCATTGGCCCCTGAGCAGTGGGTCCTAGATGAAGAAACTGAAGTTGATCCCTCTGCAAACTTGTCCCCATTGTGGCCTTCTAAAAAGCAAGAAGATGGGACCTGAAATCTGACACAGGGATGGGCAGTTGGCCTCTCTAGGCCTGTCCAGGCTCCACTGAAGGGACTCATGAGCCTGGATGCCTCCACCCACAAAACTCTAGAGCCTCACATGTGTCCTCAGGTCCCCCAGATTTTGAAGAGGAGCTGGCAGACTGCACGGCTGAACTGGGAGAGACAGTCAAGCTGGCCTGCCGTGTGACAGGCACACCCAAGCCCATCGTCAGCTGGTACAAAGGTAGGGCCCAGTCTGGGGGATCCTTGCTCCAATGTCAGGGTTTCTAAACCAAGGCTGCTGCCTGCATGGGAGACAGAAGAGGATAGGACCAGGACCAGGGGCAGGTCTGGCCAGGATGGGCCTGGAGCATGAGAGTACTTGTTCCACTCTCCCACCCCCAAATCAAAGACAGCCTGGTGAATAGAATACAAGTGGATGTGGTGGCACAGAGGAGAGTGAGTGCTCAGGAATATATGAATGTTTTGATCCAGTGATCCTGCTCGTAAGAGTCCTGCTTATCAGTTCACTCATTTAACAAATGCTTATTGAGTGCCCAGGAGCCCTGGTGGCACAGTGGTTAAAGAGGTCAGCTGCTAACTGAAAGGTCAGTGGTTCAAACCTACCAGCTGATCCTTGGGAAAAAGATGTGGCAGACTGTTTCCATAAAAGATTGCAGCCTTGGAAACCTTATGGGGCAGTTCTACTCTGTTTTATAGGGTTCCTCTGAGTCAGAATCAATTGACAGCAATGGATTTTATTGAGTATTGAGGCACTGTTCTAGGTGCTGTAGAACAGCAGAGAACAAGACAGATCTAGTGGGGAAGACAGTAATCAGATAAGTAAGTGCATAACGAGTGAGAGGTCTCAGTGCATGTGACCATCAAGAGACATCAAACAGGGCAAGGGGCAGAGTGACAAGATGGCTAGGGCAGGCCTCTCTGGGATTGCCATGTCAGAAGAGCCCTAATGATGGCAACTCAGCCACAAGAGGCCTTGAAGGGGCCCAGGTAGAGGTGCCAAGGCAGGCAGAACTCCAGGGATTGGGGCAGCATTCATGGCCAGATGAACAGGATGAACTGTGGGAGTTAAGACATATAGAGTTTATTCAAGCAGTTAATTTATATGCATAGAGGGAAAACATCCTGTTCAGAGAAATGGAGAGTTCCATTTACAATGAGAATTTTGAAGAGAAAGGAATAAATACAGAGTAGAACATCAACTGTTATCCATCCTTAACACAATTAAATCATGGCTTCTTTCCTTCCTGAGATTGCCAGTCAGGCTTTGTGACCTGGCTGAAATATCTTAATGAAACTCCAAAGGGTTAGAACTGTCTTTTCAGGAAACAAAGGCAAAGACTAGTTTACTCTTTGGTGAAGTTAAATTCTTTGCACAAGGTGAACATGGATTCATGGTTGTCACTGTTGTCTTATCCCAGAGGGGGTGTGGGATTTTATGGTCACCATGTCTCCACACTGTCTCCTTGTTAGCAGTCTGGGTGCATTCCACATTGGTCAGTGACCTTTGTGAATTTACTGTGTACTTACAGGAATCTATCAGTCTGGGGCCTCAGGTTCCCTTATTGCTAATAGTCTCATTTCTAGTTATACTCTCAGGGATACTGAGAGCTTGACCAAATATCTTGATCACTGCTATTCTAGATCTTCATTGAAGTAGTGTGATGTCTGTTGTCCTATTTGCTCTGTCAGCTGTTGACTGGATATCTTTTGTCATCTCAGCGGCTGCTCACATGTATTTAAGATCATTGAGATTATACATTTCAGGAAATATGTGGATGACTAAGGGAATAATACCCAAGGTTTGAAAAATTCCCCTGCGCCAAAGACTCCCAGATCTGAGATTTGGCTAGGGAAATCAATCCCATGGTGTTGTAGGTTTTACGTTGGCCAATTTGGCAGCTAAGTTGTGACACTGAATTTTCTAATTCTAATGCTACTTTGTCTAACACCATCTGTAATATCCAAGTGTATCTCCCAACACAAGAAAGTGCAGCTCCTGTGACTAAAGGAACTATTCCATTGTCAAGCAACCAATAAGTTTACTTTTCATTTAGAGATTCTTTCAAACTTCAGTTTAGTGCTGCATCTGAATGGGCAATAGTCTGTTCTCTTGTTTTTACATTGCTGGTCTATTTTTCCCTTTGAATAACTGATTATGCATGTCTAGACACATAGGGAGTAGCATAAACTGTGTAACAAGAATAGTTCAATCTACAGATAGACAACAAACATAACCAGTAGTAGCCTATAGTTCAAAGGTAACGAACAAGACCAAAATCTGATAGCCCACAAGGGCTTGCTATAATTTTCCATTGAAGCATAAAATTTTTCTCTGCAACCACCCTAATTTTGCTCAAAAGAAAATCTCAAAGCACAGTTGTTCTTAATGTAAAAATAAGGCTGTTCGTCATTATTTACATAGGTGCAATGCTAATTTATCACATAGACTTTTAAATCTACTTTGCTGGAAATTTTCATAAGGAATCTCATATTAAACTTGTAAATGCCTCTCAAAGCTAGGAATCCAAACCAAGAACTTGCCACCAGATTTCACCCATAGTACTCACAGATTTAGATGTGTCCTTCTCTTTTCAAGATCCCAAAATATCATAAGATTCCTGGGCCTGCCAGAAAGGGACATTTCTTACTCACTTGGAAGCCAGGTACCAGGCCAGTTTCCCTGGGAGGGCTTTGTAAGCACTGGATCCATAAAGTCAAACTTAGCTTATTAAAAATGTCTTGTTATACCTGATTTTATGAGTATCATTTTAAAATAAGATGTTCCAATCAAAGCTTGGTTATGTAACCAAGATTTCCAGTTATGTCAAATTAAGTACTTATTGAACTTATATAAATAATTACATTGCCATAAAAATAAGAATGCTCATTAAGGGTTTTCCATTTCCGGAGAGACAAGACAGGGAAAAAAAGATAAATATTTCATTTTTGTCCACAACAGCATAGTCTACTGAATTATCATATATTACAGATAGTTTAAGAGATTCTTTATATCTGGAAAAGAGAACATTAAGCATCAACAATACTCTAAACAAAACCCATATTAATCTTTCAGTCCATTCAGGTGTATGTAATTACTTTCTATTCCACTCCAACTTTGGTTTGCAGTCTCAAGAGCCCATCAGTTTCTCCACAAGAGTTCTGGAAATCTTGATTCAGTCCAATTATTTAAGGAGTGTCATTAAAGTCTATGCACAAAATATTTGCTATAGTCTTATCATGGGTCTCTTAGACAAGTCTCTTTTAGTTGAAATACTCTGGCCTGTGGCTAATTGCAAGCACTTTCGGGGCATCATCAAAGTAAAGAAACTATCTATAGATGATAAGACTGGAAATTGCCATGGTTAACTTGTTATTAATAAGTTTTAAAAGTAAAAGAGTTGATGAGAATTATCTACAAAGATAATGTCGTTGATGAGGAAATTAGGTTGTTTCCTGTGATATGCAAAACAAAATAAAGTCAATAAAAAAAACTATAGACAAACTATCTCTGAACATAATGATTAACCCTATTTTCAAAGAACACTGGATATTACACCTAAGTTATGAAAATGGATGAACATAATCTTTAGAGAATTCTAGACATAACATATAATAATCCTGAAACATAATATAACATGAATATACCAACTATATAATTAAGCTTTACCAATAATACACATGATTATCAAGTAAAGAGATGTGGTAATCTGGAGTACACTCTAAACATCTGAATATTAATAAACCTCCATAGATGATTGGTATGAATCCCTGGTTGAAAACCATTGGCCTAGATGATGTTAGATGCAAATTAAAATAAAGTTGCAACCAAATGAACAATTTAAAAAATAACTGAAATTATGACTGACAATATTTTTTGTTGTTGTCTGATATCAGGTAAAAAACTTCACCAGGGCACAGCAATGACACTGACACTCTTACAAATTTTAACCTGAAGAAAATTAGGCACATTCCCTGATTTGACAGCATTTTTCATGCTACTCATCAAAAAAAAAAAAAAAAAAAAAACCTCACAGCCATGGAGTTGATTCAACTCATTAGCAACCCCTCCTTGGGTTTCCAAGGTAGTATCTCTGTGGAAGTAGATCCTTTCGAGGAGTGGCTGCTGGATTTGAACCGCCAGCCTTCTAGTTAGCAGTTAAATGCTTTAGGCACTGTGCCAAATAAGCCTAATTATTTCTAGCACTTCTCCCCTTACAAAGGGGGGAAAACAAAATCTTTTGTGGCTTGCCACGGGACCTCTGTGAAGTCTCAAAAGACAAGGTTTTAGGTATAAATGTTATCACTAAGGATTAGATGTGGGAGGGCAAAATATCAAAAGTTGTCAGTTTTTAATATTTAGTTAAGTAGGATTATAGATCCCTGAGAAATAATACTTGGATAACTATTGAACCAAAGTGACAATAAAAAGATTTTTTTTAAAGTATGTACAGAAACTAATATGATTGTAAAAACCCTCAGACTTGGTTTTCTTAAATAATTAAGGACTTGATGAGGTCAACAAAAACTCAGGAATTTACTCTGATGAAGCACAGACTCATTTTGTCTTCTAGGCAGATTACACAAAAGATAAAATTCACCTTTTATAGCTTTTTACTAATAAAAAAGAACCAAAACCAAACGTGTTGTTGTCATTGAGTTGATTCTGTCCCATAACCAACCCTATAGGACAGCACTGAACTGCCCCATAGGATTTCCAAGATTGTATATCTTTATAGAAGCAAACTGCCACATCTTTCTTCTGCAGGGTGGCTGGTGGGTTCAAATCACTGACCTTTCTGTTAGCAGCTGAGCACTTAACCACTGTGCCATCAGTACTAAGAACAACCCAGTAATGAAAGAAAATTTTGTCATTTTAATGGAGGGGAAACCAAATTTTAGCGTTACATGTTAATTTATTGTTGTTGCTGTTGTTATGTGCTGTCGAGTCAAACCCGACTCATAGCGACCCCTCCTTGGGTTTCCGAGGCACTATCACTACGGAAGTAGGATTGCCCAACCTTCCTTCCAAGGAGTGGCTGGTGGGTTTGAACCACCAGCCTTCTGGTTAGCAGGCAAGTGTCTTAGCCACTATGCTACCAGAGCTCCCGGTTAATTGATAGTAACATTTTTAAAAAAAATCTCATAAATAAACCTATCAAATCTTATTTTTGACTACAAGAAGTAACATTCCTTACAGTACTACTTCTCAAAGTGTCAAAG